ATCTTATTTATTTTTAAAATTAATAATAATTGCTGTTAACTCGAATCTACTACGGTGGCTAGCCACTCCATGTGGCTTATAGTTATAGTTTCTATGAGAGAAACATTTGAATAATGCCAGCACACTCAAACCCTCGGCCACGCTGACTCGTAACATCGTGCTAGCACAACCATCGACGGCACCCAAAGAGTTTCGTTTATCCAATTTCCCTCACAAGTTTTTGATCAACTCGTGATATGGTTTTAAGGAACTTTTTCTACCCCAGACCGATAAGATGAAGAAGTTACCTTCCTGACAAATCGGTCTCATGGTCAGAAAGCGACATTGTAACCACTCGTAGTCGTTAAACTTATTGTGTAACTGTTATATAGGAATAAAGTGTCGCTGCCGACACTTGAGTTTGAACATAAATCGCCAGTGAGCAAACACAGGCGATCCCATTATTGAATTAAGTAGACCACGTGATCATAGAGGAAACGGATAAGTATGAAGACGCATGATATCTAAGTGATCGCAATTTCTAGTCTATCCTCTATTACTACACGGATCGCTATTTCTCCTCTATTATTATACAGGCCGCTATTCTCTATTCTATTCACTATGCTGTTTCTCTATAGTATTTACATTAGTCGGACTATTGTCCTCATCTTTGTCGCCATATTTGTCACAAAAAAATATATATATATATCAGTTATGTGTCATGCGCGATACACGCTTAAACGATCATGTATCTTTTGACTAACAAGGCAGATTTTTTCCCGCAGTAGGTTGCCATTTCTTTCTGACCAGTTGCTATCCAAGGCTATAGAACCCATTCTGTCCTGCTATTTATCCATAGCTGGTGGGAGAAGAAAAGGATTAATACCTTTCTCAAGGGTATTAACACGTAAGTAAATGTAATGGATTCGACTGGAATTCGAACTCGGTTCTCCGTTTCCTCAATCCGAGCAGCTATCCACCATGCCTCCTCATGTTTATCTATATATATAGATATACGGGTGGATAAATGGTGATAATGAACGGAGAATATAGAATTAAATGAATATCAGTGAATAAAAGATGTGTATTGCAAGGAGGAACAAGAAAGTAAAAAGCTGTTTTATCTAAAATTCTGTTTCTGTTCAGATCTTCATGTCATTCTATCTAAGCGTGTTCAGTTTCTTTATAGCTAGCTCAACCTCTCTATGAATTTCCTTCTGTTTCTTTATGGTGATTTTCTAAGCGTGTCTTAGATGTGGCACAAGGCCGAGAGTATGGGGCACTCATTGAGGATCGAACTCACTATTCAGCCGTAAGTGATCTAGCAAGACGAACTTACAAGCCATTGCACTATGTCGAAGTTCTTTCTTTCTTTTTATCGCATGTTCATATCATTTTATCATCTTTTTATCATATGTTCATATCTATCTCTCTATCTATCTATCTATCTATCTATATTTTGTTAATATCTATCTATCTATCGCTATTTTGTTAATATCTATCTATCTATCTATCTATCTATCTATCTATCTATCTATCTATCTATCGCTATTTTGTTATCTATCTATCTATCTATCTATCTATCTATCTATCTATCTATCTCTATTTTGTTAATATCTATCTATCTATCGCTATTTTGTTAATATCTATCTATCTATCTATCTATCTATCTATCTATCTATCTATCTATCTATCTAACTGAAGTAATATGGCTATCATATACTTGAAGTACCGTATAAAAATGCGATGCATTGTAGAATTGGTTGACTCTGACAGAGGAAATGACGAAGGAATCGAAGCGTAAAATGATTGATGGGACTAACGAATGAATAAGCGCATTATTGAGGAAAAGACAGAAGATTTGATTGATTGGTTTTCAGATAAGTGAAGTGCTGATCTACAACAAATGCTTACATTTGTTAGGACATGAAAATAACGCACACACACACACACACACACACACACACACACACACACACACACACACACACACAGACACGTTTACATAGATAATTGCTGGTAGATTCTCGTGTATAAGCTTACTAAGCTTATTCTGACACAAAGCTGAGTAGATGGAAGAGATTAGGAAGAATGTGTTGCGCCAAAGTTTATTGCTGTAAGTACCTCCCTGCATGCTTTAAGACCAATGTTAGTGCCGAATCAGCTTCCAGGTTGGTAGACAGGCATATATGAATACATAACGTATGTATGTAGATTCTTGTAAATCAACACAAACGTATATATATATATATATATATATATATATATATATATATATATATATATATATATATATATATATATATATACTGGACCAGGTAGATTACATCCAAAAGATGTTGATTATTTTGAATGATTCAGAAAAGTTAAAAAAATTGGTCCAGTTGAAAATTGTGACAACACGTACAGAAATGAAATTAAAATTCAGAAACGTCTATTATACTTGTTTAGAAAAGGTTACTTTTCTAAGGAGACTTATGACAGGATTAGACCTTCTGGTTCCCTTAGACCAAGACTTTATGGTCTTCCTAAAGTTCATAAGAAGGACGTTCCATTGAGACCATTACTTTCAATGATTGGTTCATCCCAAAATTCTTTGGCTCAATGGCATCTGCAGGTTATACAACCGGTCCAAACATTTTTTGCTAAACATTGTATACCTGATTCGTTCACGTTTGTTGAACGCTTACAGGCCATACAGTCTTGCCCTGATACTGATTTTATGTGTTCTTTTGATGTGTCCAGTCTGTTTACCAACGTACCAGGAGACTATTAATATCTGTGCAGACTTTTTATACGAAGGTAACATTACTCCACCTCCTTTTCCTAAGGATATATTTATAGAACTTATGATACTATGTACCAGTTCAGTGGAGTTTAGTTTTGATAATGTTATGTATAGTCAAGTGGATGGGGTCCAGATGGGCAGTCCCCTTGGCCCTGCATTGGCTAATATTTTTGTGGGCTACCACGAGATGTTACTTTTCAGCAGTGTCTAAACCGTTTGTTTATGTCAGGTATGTCGATGACACTTTTGCAACTTTTTCTAACGAAAGTGAGGCTGTTGAGTTCTTTAATGAGCTCAACTCCTTACACAATCGTTTGTCCTTCACTATGGAAGGGGAGAAGGACAACTGTCTGCCTTTTTTGGACGTTTTTGTTGAGCACAGTAGAGGTGGTTTTTTTACAAGCATCTATCGTAAACCCACCTTTACGGGTCTCTATTTGAATTGGCGTTCATTTGCTCCTGCGTCAAGGAAAATCAATCTTGTTAAACCCTTGGTGTATAGAGCGCTTAAAATTTGTTCTCCTATTAGATTGGACCGTGAATTTGAAAACATTAGGGAGATTTTCCTCAGTAACGGCTATCCGGAGGCCCTTATTGATTATATTATTAGTAAGAAGACTAAGGAATTTCATTCCCCTAAAATCCAGGGGCCTTCTAAATGTCCGGTTTATTTGAAGATTCCCTGGATTGGGGATAGTGGTCAGGGCTTAATTAAGCAGGTTAGCAAGTCGGTTTCCGGTTGTTTCCCATCAGTTGCTTTACGTAGCATTTTTCGAACTAGGTCTGTGTTTCCGTCTTTTCGCAAGGACGTATTGCCCTACATCAAATTGAGTAATTTAGTATATGAGTTTAATTGCCAGTGTGCTGCTGGTTATGGGGCGTACAACCTTGCATTTGGAAACTAGAATCAATCAGCATGTACCTTCAAAATACGACTTGGTAAGATAGATAAAATATGCTATCTCCCCCCCATGAATATGGAATCGGCTATTGCTCAACATTTAGTTGAGAATATAGCCTGCGCCAAGTCGTATAAAAAAGAGTGGTTTAAAATTATTCATACAGCCGATTCCAACAATCATTTGAAGATTTTGGAATCGGTCTGCATAGGATTAAGGAAACCTTCTCTCTGCCGGCAGAAAGAATTTGTAAAGTCTCTTAATCTGTTGGGGGATATTTTATTTTAACTGTCCCTCGCTAGTTTATTTACACGTTATTTCCCCTCCCCTCGTTACAAGTATATATACTTGTTTGTTTTTTTAGTGTGTTTCCCCCCTTTTTTGCTCTTCATTGTCGTTAATATTCTTTTCGTGATTAATTATCCAACGATTGTCTCCTGATGAGATGTTGGTTGAAAGGGCCTTAGGGACTTTTAAAATTAAAATCAATACATTCCTTGTTTTTAAAACTATATATATATATATATATATATATATATATATATATAAAGTGTCGTCTAAATTATGTAAAAATTAAAATAAAACTGACATCACATTTTAACAAATATATTTACCAGAATTTTGTCTCTTCTATTTCTGAGATGCTTTTTATTTTATTTGCCATCTCTCTTCAGTATGTAGGCGAGCATGGCTCCCCACAACTTCCTAATTTTTTCTCTATATAGTTTTTGACTCTTTACCATTCCTCTTTGCCTTCATTCTGGGATCTATATGCTTCTTATTTTATTTGCCAGGACTCTTCAGTAAGTAGGCGAGCATGGCTCTCCACAACTTCCTAAGTCATTTTGAAGTAACTTTTAATCATTTCCGTTCACACTTTGTCTTCATTCTGCCATGCGTATAGTTCTTATTTTATGTGCCACGACTCTTCAGTTTTCATTTTTTAGAGCTTCTTCGTTGCTCAGGTGTTCTGTCCATGTGTTCCCAGCATCCTTCTGTAGAGCAACATATCAATCGCTTCATTTATCTTCTCATCAGTAAAGATTTCACTGCCACAGAGACCTTATGAAATAGCCGTTTTAAAATTCTTTGTTTCTAACGAAATATTCCTATATCTTAGTTTCTTGAAGACCTCTTTCGCTATTCCGATGAAACTTCAGATTTGAATCGCACTTTTCGTCTATTCTGGATTTTAGCAGTTGGAAATGTCTTTGCCTTTGCAGTTTGGTATGAATACATGCAGTTATAACGTGTGTTTCATCCGGTGTGTAGTTAATGTCGTGTGAGGTCTGCCGATTTGTTGGTACATATTTGTAGACTACCGTGTCTATATTTTAGTGTGTATCCTCTATCCCCGCTTCCCACCATATGGGCATTGCATTGATGCCTGTACCAAGAAGAGGTTCATCATCCCCATTGTAGATGTCTCGTGTCAATCCGTCGGCTACAAACGCAATATGACAGCCGAGTCCCATCGGGTTGCGGTCGGTGTCAGTTGAATAAGATCTAATTTCAAGCGGCATATTTTCCACTTCTTAACTAAAGAGAGAAGTTAGTTGTCACCAAAATGACCCAAAAGAGAAAAGAAACATTGGGAAACTGGCATGCCAGTGGAGCTTGGGAGATGTAAAAGAACTCCGCTAGGTGGCGCCACTGTAGGCTATTGCTGTCCCAGGGCACAAAAATCCGGAAACTAGATTTCTTGCGTCATTCTCTTTTTAACTTTCTATTTTGTTTCCAAATTTTTATCCAACTTTGCCATTTTCTCAATTAACAATATTGATTTGAGTGAGATGAGCGCATATATATATGTATACACATATTTAAGTAGAAGCTCCGTTTATTTATTAAACAGTATATTTATTTATTTTCTTCTACCAGCCTGATTATTTGATGAATTTTATTAAAGAAAAAAAAAATATATATATATAAAAAAGACATTTTCATGTTTATACATTCTTTTTTTAGATACAAATATTTAAGTAAATGCTCTGTTTATAATAAACAGTATTAAATAACATTTACCGTCCTGAATGTCCGAGAAATTTTCATAGAAAATATTCGTCCTCCGACAGGAATCGAACCTGTATCCTATACAGAACCGTCTATAGCCTGACGTGCCTTTAACCGGTATATGACTATTACTTCTAGTAATTTTTTTCCTTAAAGATGTATTGCTGGTAATAATGTATTAGTGGTAATAATTTTCCTCAAAAAATTTATTGCTGGTATTAAAAATTATTTTTACATTTTCATAGTATTTTGACCCCATTTTGGGGGTTAATTATTTAACCATAGCTGGGACCCTAACAGGTGCTACCACCCCGGGTCAGGGTCGAACTGGTAACACCAGCAATTAAGAGGTGGTTCCAAGCTCCTCAAAATCTGGTCAGAGACCTTGCTGTTGGATAATTTTATCGTCTTAACCAGGACGCAGATGTAGTTTATCGTCTTATCCAGGATGCATATGGGTTTGGGGGTTAACTATTTGCCCATAGCTGGGACCCTAACAGGTGTTACCACTCCGGGTTAGGGTGAATCTGGGAATACTAGCAATTAAGAGGTGGTTCTACGCTCCTTAAAACCTCCTGATCAGAGGCCTTTATCCAGGATGCGAATGTAGTTTATCGTCATACCCAGGACGGCTACATTTGTACTAATGTTTTCTTATGAAAGTCGACAGGGCACATTCTGTCCTTGTCAATGTTCTGTTATATTGCTGATCGTTATATTCAGGAATAATTGAGTTTCTTGCACAAAGTTGTTGGAATGTCACATGTAATAATTGTGTATGTGACCAACGAAGAACACGGGCGTTGGTTTTGTTACAATGAAAAAAAATCTGAGAATAATGGTAATTAACAGATGCAAACCTAAGGTCAGCGAAATGTGTGTAAAAAAAAGAAATAGCTTTTTTTAAAATTAATTTTAAAAGTATGTACTTATTTACGGATTGCTATATTATTCGACTTTCTTTATGGAAAAATCTTACGTTGACGTAAAAATTGCTGCAAAACATTAAGACCGAAATCTTAATGGTTTGCAGCAATTTTGCAGATGACGTTTGGCTAATTTGTTTTTAGAGACATTGTTCAAATTTTCATGTATCATTTAGATATATATGATGGTATAGTCAGAGCACTTTTTAAAAAGAAATCATTCTACCCCAATCAAGGCAATAAAGTCACTAGGACAAAAGTGGGTACTGACTGGTAGAAAACATTAAGGAGAGAGAGAAAAAAAATGAAAAAAACAAGAATTAAGAAGACATTTTATTCTCTCGCACTTCTCGCATGTGGAACTCTCTTCCAGTCGCCTGCTTCCAAGTCAACTTTGATCTTGAAAGATTGAAGTGCGATGTTAATCGTTATGATCTGTTCTTTTATTGCGTTTTCTCCTTGATAATGTTTTTCTTTTTCTCATATTCTTCACACTCAGTAGCTCCTCACGTCTTCGGGTTTTTATTGCCTTTCTTAGATTGAAATGATAAAGAAAAAAAAAACGCTTATAATTTTTTCTGGGGCACGATTATTTTGTTCCACCTTTATTAAACTTATATAAACATTCCTCTCTACAGAAAGATGCTGAGAATACATGTGAGATTTGGCCACATAATGGGGAAGGAGGGCTTAGAAAATATGAAACTCACAGGGCAGATTGAAGGTCAGAGGGACAGAGGAAAACAACGGATTGCATACTTGACGAAAATTATTGCGGGACAAGGTTTAGGAAAAATAAGGAAAAGGCAGAATTTACTTAGAGATACAAAGGACAGGAAGTTGTGGAGGGCCGTGATCGCCTACGCCCTGAGAGGGAACGGCTCATAAACATTCCAAGCAGAACGTTTATTTGAAACGGATGCTAATTTTATAAGTTAAAATCTTCCCACCGGCATGATAATTCCAGACGGAAATTGTAGTTGATAAGAAAGAGTACTGGAGCTGGTTTGAAATACGTAATTATATGACCCAGGAACTTACCGAAAGAAGTGAATACGGACAAAGTGTTGAGGCTCTGTGAGGGGGGGGGTGAGAGAAAGAAAGAGAGGGAGAGAGAGACAAATAAGAGGAGAAGAGAGATGAAAAGAAAACTTAGATATAGGGAGAGAAAAGAGAAGAAATGGAGAGACTTTTCTGGGGAGAGAAATGTGAAGAAACGAGTAGAGACGGAGAGAGAGATGGAGATAAAAGAGAAGGGGAGAGAAAGGAGAGAAAAGAGAGGGGAAAAGAGATTTGGAGAAAGCAAAAGAGACAGAGAGAGAGAGAGAGAGAGAGAAAGAGAGAGAGAGAGATGGAGTAAAATGAGGTGGGGAGAGAGATGTAGAGAAACGAGAGAGGGAGAGAAGAAGAGAGAGTAGAGACAGTGAGAGAGATGGAATAAAAGAGAGGGAGAGAAAGAAGAGAGAAGAAAGATGGCGAAAAAAGAGAGTGAGGGAGATAGGAGCTATGGAAAGAAAGAAAGAAAAGATAGAGGAAGAGAAAAACTAAAAGAGAGAGGGGGAGAAAAGAGTGGGATGAAAAAGGGGTGGGGCGAGAGATGCAGAGAAATTAGATCGGGATAGAGGAAGACAGTGTAGAGAGGCTGAGAGGGCAATAAAAAAGAAAGTGTGACCGTAAAGAGAGGGAGAGCGATAGAGAGAAAAGAAATATGAGGAGAGATTAAGAGAAACGAGGAGAGGATAGAAAATGAAAAGAAAGAGGGGGAGTTGGAGAGAAAAGAGAGGCAAAATTGAAAGGAGAAACTAGACAGAATTAAAGGAAGACGAAAAGGAAACGAAGGGTGTCTTACATCAGTCATTTTGGCATAACTCTTGTCAATAAATCATGTAATACAAGAGAGCAGGCAGATGCGTATAATAGATGTTTTGCAGATGACGTAACTATTTCCGATTGGGCGCGTTGAACAGCGGAGAAGCCATGGCCCTATCTTGCCGACTGCATCAATCATGGGGCCTCGTTCTGGAGTTCGTAGTGACGGGAGGCAGTCCGAGTCACCAAAGGTTACCAAGTACTTCGGGCTGCAGGCGAGACGATAATAAATCATCTGAGGCCAAACGCCCATTCACAAATTCATGCAAATTCAAATACGCGCGCCCGGACACACAGATCCTTGCGCGCATGCGTGGATCACACAGATGTACGCAAAGGTACTCCAACGTCTAATCACAGACACAAAATATTAAATACATAATCAGCATAAAAGATGTAATATGAAGCGATGTGTAAGGTACGCAATCAATAAGCACTTTATATACTCGCGGACAACATAGACATTTTTCATCAGTACATGAATTTTGCGTTTGAGTTTCTAATAATAATTTATAAAGCAGGTCCACTTCTAATAATAATTTATAAAGCAGGTCCACTTAGCGTATCAGTCTTCCTACTATTATTTAATTAAATCTGACCTTATATCGCACAAAGCTAAAACCAATAAATGTTAATCTCTTTCAGCGAATCCACTTATAGTCGCATTGATAAACTCCTGAAGTCTTCTATTTATTAATGTAGCTGATTTTAAGACACGATAAAAAAAGTCGAATTTTGTACATAGCCCTCAGTAAGGAGAACTCACTAAGCAATATTCATGGTCAACCAGAGTAGCTTTGATAGTCATTACCCACACCGATTGTTGGCTGGTTGGTTTTACAAACCGTCAACACCTGTATGGTTATATAAGGTCGAATTTTGTCTCGGGCACCCAGTGAGGATCGAACTCACTAAGCAATAGTTATGGTTAATCAAAATAGCCTGGATAGTCATTACCTAACGCCCATTGTTAGCTGGTTGCTTTTACGAACCGTCAACCCCTGTACGGGTATTTAATGTTGAATTTTGTCTCGACCGCCAGTGAGGATCAAATTCATTATTCACTGGTAATCGTCATCCAGATAAGCCTCGTTAGAAATTACCCAACACCAACTATTGGTTGACTGGTTTTACGACATCCTTGTTGAATTATTTAAAGACCAATAATTTATGAGACACCCAGTGAGGATCAAAGTATTTAGTCATAAACCAGTGTAACCATTATTCCATTCCAGTACCTTCTGAATTCAACTTTTGATTTAGCGGAAGGAGCCTGTAATAGGGAAAGACATTCTAGCAGATACTCAGAATCCTTTTCATTGAATGCAGACCGGCTTTTGGAGAGAGTAGCTGTGATTCATTCGTTTTCCCCGTTTCCCTTTTTCGTTGCATATTTTTTTCATTAAATCCTGAAACACCCATAATATCTTAGAGATTCGCATATTATATAACCTTACGACACTTATATTAGATATGTAGAGTACATCGGTGATGTCTCGTGTCGTATAACCTGGATTATTGTCAACCTCTTTTCCGACTTGGTCCTCAGAAACTACGGACGTTCTCGGTATTCCAGATAAAAAAAATTTCCGCGTTTGAACCTCTCAAACCACTTACTAACAATACTCTAGACGTCTATAGCACCATCTCCATAAATGGCAGTTTTTTCTTCCTTTCTGGGAATAAAAGAGTCTCAAACGGGGAAAATGAATTTCATTTTCACTTTTAACTTAAAAAAAGAATTAAATTCACAATCCACAACGAATCATATATAAACACGCGATGAAATTTCAGTTTTCAGAATATATATATATATATATATATATATATATATATATATATATATATATATATATATATATATATATATAGTCCTCAGTGGGTGAAGATTTCTTTTTTGCGAGGCATACTGCTGCCGTCTGCGATGGGCATCAATAAAATACAGAAGAACTAAAAATTGATCGATGTATTTAAATATTGCATTACTATTTAAGCTTATCTTTTAAAAGCTCAACAATAATTCTTCTGTCGCTACTCAATTTAAAGACAATTTGATGTAGGTAGGTCCTTACTTACAAACAATTATTTTTATTTCATGGGTGGCTTTCGCTGGATTTCGCAATTAATTTCGATTATTCCCAAATTTATTTCCAAGTTATAAAAATTATTATCGTGCAAAAAAGCTCGTCTCAAAAAATCATGGAAAAAATGGCCGAAAACAACCGCAGTAATGAAAACATGGGAATCGAAAATTTCTGTAACTATTGAGAGTTGGAGAGTTGTGTCCCTTTAATTGAAAAAGTGTGACACAGTGACAAACTGACATTCGTATTTATTATATAGAAGATTGTGTAAAATCACACAAAAACTAAAGAAAAAACAAGGAAAAAGTATCTATCTATCTATCTATCTATCTATCTATCTATCTATCTATCTATCTAATCGGTAATTGTATAGTGTAGAATATTTCAGTTGTCACTTTGCTTTCAAACATATATAAATTAGTACGTTTTTTACATATTCTTTAACACATCCAGACCGTAATGTAGTTCTGCGCAAGATATTTGAGTAATCTTAATGAAACTTGATCTGGTTGAACATTAAGTAGTGTATTGAGTTACATTCTTCTTACTGTCCCAATACTATGGCTGTGTACATCACTAAGGATAAATGTAATTAAAAGAATTTTGTAAACTCAACTGTATTTACAAAATCAGTCCAACTGCTAACGTTACTGAAGGCTGTGTAGCTGTCTGAATAAATATATCACTAAGTTTGTTTTTATGGGCTTTTGAATGTAGGTATTCTCCTCACTAAGGCAGGAAGTAACAAAAGGTCGTTTTAACGTGGGGGGTGCCATATGATATAGATATGCATATGGGCCAAGGATAAAATTTTTTACCCAGTCCCCTCGACCACACTCACATCGATATTACACCGAGCCGATTGCAATGAGGAAGGTGTTGCCGCAGGGTTGGAATCCCCAGTGCCTTCACCCATCTAAAATGAAATTTACTCCACTTCCGGTACAAACGTTAACTTCTGTGGCAGGCTTTTAAATGTCGGATAAACATGTCCGATATAAAGATTTATGCATTCAATAATTACTAATTTTAAAACGTTTAAATAGCGTAAAGGTTATCGGCACGGAAAGTGGGAAGGGATTACTTCATTAATACTTTTCTAAACTTCGAGTTAATAGCAAGATAGAAAGTATTCGCTAACTATAGGTGGCAGTCCATCTTAGAGAAGGACCATTCTGTATTTAAATTCCCAAGAAATGGTAGTAATAGTAGTATTAGACGTTTCCTTATAAAGAAACATTTGGCATTCATTAACTGAATAGCCAGTGCTACTGTTGGTTGAAATTTATAAAATCTTTCTCATCAAACATTTTCTCATGAAAATACGTTTCTCAAGTTAACTGCTCAGCAACTTTGATATATTTGGGCAAGATATTAGAATAATCAAGAACCTATACTGGCAGCAAACGGTATGCATGCGGATAGAGAATGAGTTCAGTGGATATACAAAAATAGAAAGGGTCGTAAGGCAAGGATGTGTCTTCTCACCGGACTTATTCTGTTAGACATTTTGACGGTCGTTTTCAAGTATAGAGTCCAGAGGTTGGCAGTGACTATTTCGGAAACAGTAGGAAAGCGTAGTTCAGGTTCGCAGTGGATATCGCAGCAAAGTAGCAGAGCGTAGTTCTTCCTTCTGGTATGTTCGCCTGACAAGTTGGATCTGGTCATTCCGGTAGGGTATACAAAGATGGCCGCCTTTATACATGACGGATACGGTGTTCTGCAGCTTCTGATTGGTTCATCTTCTATTGGTAGACTATAAAGGGATTAAGTCATTTTGACTAACTCACTAGTTACACATACACACATATACACAAAAAACTGTAACATATTCAACCTATACAGCGAGGCATTTCTGGTAGAATTGGAAATCCTACCGGGATTCAGCATCGGCGGCCACAATCTTGACAACATAAGATATGCAGATGACACAGTATTGATAGCAGACATGGAAAAGAAATCTCCTACAGAAGGTAACGAAGGGAAGTGAGAAGAAAGGACTAAGTATAAACTGAAAGAAGAGAGAATGCATGGCCATCAGTAATAGGATGAGCCCGAATTGCGATTTACAGATCGGGGACACTAAAAATATTTCTGGCTTTAAATAACCTGAAAAAGGTTGATAAGCCATAAAACAAATCAATCAATAAATCAATCTTTATGAGGAAACATTCACTAATCGAGCATCCAGTGTTACTGTCGTTTGAAATTTATAAAATCTTTTTCTTCAAACATTATTATTAGGTTTCTCAAGTCCAGTAGTCGTTATCGCTCTTTCAAGTACTGATAGGAGTTTCCTTCTTAACCTTTATTTGAAGTAGGGTGGAATGTCAACATCTTGATTATGTCATTATTTTCTTTTCTCAAGTCCAGTAGTTGTTATCGCTCTTTCAAGTACTGGTAGGAGTTTCCTTCTTAACCTTTATTTGAAGTAGGGTGAAATGTCAACATCTTGATTATGTCATTATTTTCTGTTCGAGTTATATGTGCTATCCATTTTAATTGTTTCTGCTGTTGGTAGTCCTTATATGATGTGGTTTCTGCTATTTGGTAAAATTCTTTGTTTGTGATTATGTAGCGCCAGTCAATAGAAGAGTGATTTTCTCCAAGACTCTCATGCTTCACTCGTTCAAAACCATTTTTAGCCATTGATCTTAGAAAACGTTTTATATACAGCTGTATCAATTTAGCCATTGATCTTAGAAAACGTTTGTATACAGTTTTGATTTTTCAGAATGGGTTTGACGTCATATGAAAGTCTTGATCTGACGAGGCTATTTAAGAATATGTCTTCAAATTTCAGCTTAATGTTTTGCCTTTCTAGCAACTTATGATATTGGGTGAAACTATTTCTAGCGTAGCCTATTCTATGTTTAATTTCCGTATCTCCTCCGGAGTTTATGCG